ATTCCTTGCATTTTGGCGGAAAGTGACTTTGGCCTTGTACATGATTGGGTAATAGGGAGACGAGCTGATAGGTAAATAACTATTAATGAGGTTGTTGTATTGGCTAAAATTAACGTACTATGATTGGCTAAATTATTTGTAAGCAGAATCCTAAATCGACATCAAGCTCGGCTAGTTATATTTCCGATAGCAGTCGTCACGTTACGTATGTGCGACATTTGTGTTGATAAACATTCATTTCCCCCACAATCCAATGCGCTCATCTAATGGCAATCACTGAAAAATATGGGGTTTGACCTGGGCGCGACTTGCACTAATTCCCGCCGGTGGCTCTTTCGATACCTTCCAATCACCTACAAAATACCTAATTAAAGCTTGGTAACGTCTCAGTTTGTTGATTTGCGCAACAGTCAAAGTCGCCATCTTTGTTCATATGAGGCCCATATATCTTGCGCATGCGTGGCGCGACGACTACTGCCCTTTAACAGATGTTAAGAGGTTCACCTATGAGAAATCTATTTTATTGTTAAAATAGTTAAATGTATTGCAAGTATCGTAATTGTAATTAAATATATTTTATTTTCAAATAAAGGCGGACATTTTGTGTGAAATTAGACTGATCATTGTGATCTGGAGACGCTAGTAATGATATCAAAATTAAAGACCCATTAATAACTTAGAATAGGCTCGTGATTACCTCGACTGTTTTCGGGAGCATACGTCTCAAAAATACTAAGAGATTACGAGATTATTATACTTGATCATTGCCATTGTCTCATTTCATTGATACATTGATTGGACAAAATTATATAACATAGTCGGACACCTTTGGTCTCACTGTATTGTTTTCTTACCTGAATCATAGCTGCCAAAACTGCTGGGTATCATTGGAAACGACAGGAGGAACTTTGATGGTTGATCTATTAGTGTATGTCCAGTTCCCGACATATCACGACCGGTACACTGACCACGTCTACAAATAATACATTAATTAAATAATAAACAACGAGGCGTAACATCCATAGCAAATTGTCAATCATGTTAGGGTGCTCGTTTTCCACAGGAGTGCTCCAAGTACAAATACGTTTGAAGAAAATACCCTCAGTGCTAGAAAATACATCTGACTTAGGGTCTGACACACGACAAATATTATAATTGAAAAAAAAGATGCTTACACTTTCAGCCCATTGAGTGACACCTCTATATTGTAGCTGTTTGGTTCTATCGAATCACGCAGGGTAAAAGTGGAGGAACGTGTGTCAGGTACTTTTAAGAATCGTGGGCCTTTGATGTGAGCAATTTCAAACCAGTCACCCATGAACTAAAATAAATATAGAAGAATATTACGAAGGAGTATATTTGTGTTCACACGAACTATTAATACACTATTCAAATTAAGTCGCGCCCTCTGGCGGTGAAGCGTTTTGTGACGTATATGTGTAACGCTTATACATAACCAAAGTTGCCAGACTACCTGTCTACGTCATTTTTACGTCATAGGAGCACTTTGTCTCTAGAGGTCACGAGTGGGTGTCATTTTTTAGTCACGATTTAGCTATGCATATTCACACTAAAAATAACAGTATCGGTGTTAGTAGTGGGATTGATAATAATGATGTTTCGACAAAAATCACTTGCAATTACTCGTGGCTCGTGACTATATCTATTAAATAGCATTTTTTTGATAAATTTGATATACTTGTATTCTTTTACAATAGTGCGTATCACTATTATAAAGTAATGTGTGAAGGTGGAATGACGCACGCGAATGGCACGCGTCACTTCACACATAGCCTGACATGTAAGCGTAGTAGCGCCCTCGCCAGCCGAACGGCATCAGACCTGTGTTATGTTTGGAGCACCGCGGAGGGCGCAACTCGCGCGTAATCGCACTACAATAACAATCGCACTGCCAGCCATAGGCTCGCAGTAACTACGTACATACCTCGGATATTTGGAAATCTCGCTGAGCTTTAAAATGATCCACATTACAATGATTTCGTATATCGTCGTTTCTTTCTGTTAACAAAACAAAACATGTTACATGTACTACTATCAAATAAACGATATCCCTGAGAGATTATGTGCCCTTTCAGTTGTGGAAAATACTATATCTTGCTATTTGAATGTTACAAGTAATTGCAGGCTCTGCTAATACAATAGTGTGCCCGAAATTCGAATAACAGACGTAATGATTTGGTGTGAATGTCAATATCATTAGGTATATATATACACTTATGTAATGTAAATCATATTTATATATATATATATGTTCATATGATAAAAATTGAAATTGAGTCATCACAGTGAATTTGGTTTTCATAATAACGCTAATCAATATTATTTGTTTGTTTATTTCAAAGGTCATTGGCCTAAAGAACAAATGCAATTTCATTTAACAGCATTAAGTGCATAAAATCGTAACAATGAAATACACTCAAGTTCTCGATTAAATTGGTATCAATCTTGAACTCACAAGCAAGCTAAATGTGTTGTAAGTGGGGTTAGTGCAAATGAGCCAATGGCCTTTCGCTTTGAAATAAACAACAAACAAACAAATCAATATCATATGCCGGTACGTCGTCACGGTTGATATTACTGACCACATGTTTCTTTGTTCTCATCTGAACCATCACCACAATCAACTTCACCATCACACTTCCACCTTTTAGGGGCGCATTCTCCGTTGTTACATCGGAATTCGTGTTCAGTGCACATGATTTCTGGTCTGGGACCTGGTGGGTAGATAACAATGAGATATTTTTATTGCGTGGTTCAGCGACAAAATAATATAAAAAACAACGAATCTATATAAAAACAGCGAATCACTTGTAATTAATTCCAAACAACAAAGTGTCCATTACTTACATGGCTTCTTTGGAGGAGGGCGTTCTTGAGGTACCACAGCTGGACAACGACCTATAAAATGAGACGAATTAGTTAATAAATACCATTCTTGAACTGTTTGTATATTTTGTTTACGTATATTCACACACAGGGTGTGATTTTTATAATACTGAAAGAGAAATATTTTATACAGAATTCACAAATGTACTCCCGACTTTTTAAGCAGAGAACAATTATTATTATTTCTACGTAATGTTCACGTCACATCTATAAGCGCTTCATCGCTTGGGAACACGCCTTATAGAAAAGGCGTTTTATAAAATAAATAAGAACTTAAAGGGGCACCTTCCAGTTAAGATTAATTTTACAACAAATTTACTTTCTGGATTAAAATAACAATGGATAACAAAAGATAGATTAACATTGTAAACAACATAAACAATAGTGTCCCATGATTCTTTGGTGCAATCCATGGGATTGAGCGGTTCCCCTTTAATAAACACCAAGATGAAAACTATTAGATCATCAAGACCAACTCACCCACATCATCCCTAAGGTCATCGCGATGCATGCATAGGCGGTCTCTCAGTACAAGCTTTGCCAAATCGTGTGCGTCTTCGTCCAGTTCTTCCTGTCGGCTTAATAACCACACTAACTCACTTTGCGGATTGCACGTGCCATCGTGATTCACCTGCATACACGTGTAAACTATTGCATATAACTCATAATCCGTGTCCACCACCCAGTATCGAACTGAAATATGAAAAAACCCACATGGCATAACTTTATCATGATTTCTTCTATTCAATAAATCTTCACTGATTTATTGTATAGACCTTTTTTTGCAACACTTTGGAAACCTACCATTTGAAAAGTTGCCAAATTTTTTTGGTATATGTGGAAACGCGATGGTTAACTTGGCAGGATTGTTTTCATTCATGCGTCCTCTGCCTGGCATAGAATGACCTGTACATACACCGTGCCTGTAACACAAATCAACGTCATTACGTTATTATTTACATACAGACGCAGGTGACAATGCAATTTCATGTTTAAAGCGCGGTGGTCGTCACACTGCGCATGTGCGACATTTGTGTTGATAAACATTGATTTTACCACAATCCAATGCGCTCTTCTAAAGGAATCACAAGTGTGAGGTTCAATCTGGGCACGACTTCCACTAATTACCGCCGGTGACTTTGTTTATACGAGACCCATATATCTCGCACATGTGTGACACGACTATAACTCTTTAATATACGTGCTTAAACACAAATGACAGTCTGGATCTCGATGACAGTATGAGAATCTACGAGAGTCAGGTCAGGTTAGGACAGTTCTCCTTGTACACTAAATAGGAGCTGTAAATAGTATAGCAAAATAAGACATCTACATCTAAATTGCATAAACATGATACTTATGAGGAGTATACCTCAAATGAGACCTCTAAACAGTTTACCTATATAAGACCTGTAAGGTATATATACAAAAAGAGACCCCTGAAAATCATTTTTCATAATGTGAGAACAGTATTGTGCTATAAACTGAGAATTGTCATTCTGTCAGAGACGGAGTTCTTACATTTTGACGCTGTTCATCATAAGAGTCAGTTCCCTGTCATCTGTAATGCTGTAAGTCATACTTCTGATGTCCGGCAGAGATACAGTTCCTGGAAAATTGTGGGCGATTTCAAACCATTCACCAGTAAACTAAAAAGTAAAAGTAAAAGGACAAAAAATGGCACGTTGAAACATGTGGCAATAATTAAAATGTTGGTATTTATGTGTCAGTTTGTAAGCATTTGGAGTGTTCCTTGTTTACGATCAGCGAACGCCAGTTAAAGCGGGGGGGGGTTGTCACCTGCGCATGCGTCAGATGGCCATAGCGTGTCATTGTTTACAAACATGCGCCTTTGCGTTGTTAGCATGTGTTGTTATCATCGCTTGGGACTCAATTCCCGCGCGTGCGCAGGTGACGACCCTCCCGCTATAAGTGTACGCGTTCTTCCACAATCCAGCGTTCATCGAACGAAATTTTTTCCTGTTTAAACAATCACTCACACAGCACCATACTGGACGAGGAGCAAGGTCTATGGTATGACATAGATAGATAATGTGAGAGGAGATGTTGAACACATCATTGTGTCTAGACTATTCTCCGAATCAAATATGACGTTGTGGGGGATTCAATATTGTGGAGGATTCAGAATTGAACAAATTTAGTTAATTTGAGGGATTTTTTTGGAAATGGTCTTATCTCTTAATAATCTAAAATTATTGATCGTAAATATTACCCTTTCTATGTCGAAGTCTTCTTTCAATTGTATATCCTCCACGATACATGGCGGCCCTGAAAAATAATACATCATGGTTAGATGATACATAAGAGATGATTTAGACAGTGTACGATAACATTGATTGGTGTTTTATTTGTTGGTTGGTTTGTTTGTTCATCGGTATGTCGGTAGGTTACTTTACATACAAGTAATGCTAACCAGATCTTATTAACATTACAACAATATTACTTATTGGATTAACAGCTTCGAATAAACTGGAGGTGCACTGTGCTCCCCCATAAAAGCTATGAAAAGTGTTGGGATGCATTCGGTGTTAAGATTTGAGTGACGCAGGCGACGATAAATGTTCTATAATACGTGATGACCAAACACTAGTAGCAGCATTGTAAAAAGATGTCATCAAACGATACGACCTGGCATGGAGCATGCACTGTCTAGTAGAATCAGCTACATGGCTGTTTTAAAGTATTGGTGACACACGACATCCCAATCATTTCGAATTAGAATGGAAATAGAATGTATATACTTACCACAGCGCTCCGGTGATTCGTCGGATCCGTCTAAGCAGTCACGTTCACGGTCACACACCCAATCAGTTACTATGCATTCTTGACTGTTACAATGGAATTCATCCTCTCCACATTCAGAGACTAAGAAATTGAAAATAGTTTCCATCATTGAAGAAGTTTGTTAATGGTAACATCGAATACACGAATACAATGCATCTATATCCTACATGTACTATGTGAAATCAAATCGAAAATACCTAAATATATAACTGTAAAAGGATTGATTATCTACTTGGTTTCAATTTAGCTTATTTCTCTGACTGGAAAATGTGATAAATTAAACCCCGGTGAATATGTAAAATTGAGCATAGAACACATTATCTAAATGATGAAACCATGAAATTTTAAACCCACTGAAAATTAGTCATTTTACAGTAACTAGTTAAGTGATTAACTTAACAACACCATCAATGGAGGCCTACTGGCGTGTGAACATGTCAAGTCTCAAAATTCTAAACACGTTTAATTTGTTGAAATTAAGTTTATTATTGACAGACCATTAATTAATAAACTAACCTTCTTCAACGTTGGAATTTTCTTCCGTACAGGGATCTGTGAGCGAAGATATTTAATCATTACGAAAAACATAATTCTCGTATACAATTGAAAAACATACATGCACATTCAAATAAACAAAAGTGTCTTCGGATCACAAAAAGCTTCTGTGTAATCAGAAAATTAAAAAGTATAGATGTATAGGTAAAATTATTTCCCATATGAAAGTACATAACATTAATCACTTATTGATGACCGTCATTTTATGGCTTACCATTCAACTCGGTTTTATATTCAAGTATCTGGGTATCTATGCAAAGGTCTCCTATTATAAGTGCTACTTCTGCTTGCTCTTCATCTGTAAGACTGGGACTTCGGGCGTGCACGTGCACGCCGGCGTGGTCTTCGGCACACGTGCCCAGTGGAGTTAGTTGTGTACAGAAATACACTACAGCATATCGGCTGTAGTCGGTGTGAACAATTCTCAGTAGAGATGCTGTTGTGAAATAAGAATAAGACAGTCGTGAAGACTCGACGAGTGTAAACAAGATTTCAATCGATGCGATAACACCCACATCATCTCATGAATTGCCACACTCGTACATATATTTTTATTTGGATAAAATGTACTAGTAAGATAAATAAAATGAAAATTCAAAATGTGACTTTCTTTAAAATTAGTTATTGTGTATGACAAATGATGAACACAGTGTCACTCATATTTACTCAAGCTGGGAATAGCGATATTTAATGCCTTGTAATCAGCCGTTATAGTGAGTGATGCAATCACTTTTAATCTTGCAAAGAGAAAAGAATAAATAATTGTCATACGTTCTTCGTTTGGAAGTTTAAGCCTCCATATGGCATCATTGCTGATTATGGGTCTTCCCTTGTTTTGCAAGGGTTGTTTGGTGCACACGCCATCTCTGCAGAAATAAACATGATATTCGTTATTAACACATTAACTTGAATATATAAGCGAGCGCGTCTTTTCGATTTGGTGGCGATTACGTCACTTTTGCGTTCGCGGGGTTGTTATCGAGTTGAAATATGTGATGAGTGAACGTAGTGTTGATTCATTCAGTGGAAGCGATTAATTCAGGACATTTATTATAAGGACACACGATAACACAATATTAGTACATTATTGGCCTAGCGACTATGCCTAGAGGTGCACACTGGGTTGCAAGCCAGACAACACAGTCACCAATTAACGTCAATCCTGAGCGACACTAACAACTAAACAACAATGTTTTGTTAAATACTAGTTCGTGAGAGCAAATATACAAAATAAAACATGACTGTAGGTGCGACCAATGTCAATCTGTATTTTAAATTATAGATGTTTTGTGAGAAACCTATTACGTAATAACTAAATGTGTCATTAGTCTGGCGACCGGTCGACAAAATACTATAATTCGAAATCGTCTTGTTTTGCGAGTGTTGAAAATTCAGAAAATCCAATAGACGACTGTTCTTAGAGTTTTATGAACATTTACCTAAATGTTCAACGTAAGGTATACATATTACGGTAGGTTTTAACCAAATCTGACTATACATTTACATAATCCATAAAGCAAATAAAGTGAACAAAATCATATTTTAATTACAACTCAGCTTCGAGTGAATGTACAAATATGCTTCATTATATGAATTAATAACACATTTCCTATATAATGCATAGTTTTAAAGTTCTTGCATATTTTCATAACACCCAAATCAAGCAAACGCAACTACACAGTATTCTATACATAAGAAGCATGGCTTACAGTGTCGCAGATGACAAATAAATGAAAGCAATGTGACTGAATAGCAAAACGTTATCTCAGGAAGCATAAGTGGAAGAAATTGTTTTCCCTTACTTGTGTTTGTAATAGAATTATAATGATTAACACATGTAGAGATAAAAAAAAATAACGCTACGCTACATCTATATATCTATCTATATATCCTAGATACGAGCGTCGACTATTCCAAAGGAAAAGTGCCAGTGCTCAAACCAATGTGTATGTATATGATTTCCCTTACTTGTGTTTGTAATAGAATTATAATGATTAACACATGTAGAGATAAAAAAATAACGCTACGCTACATCTATATATCTATCTATATATCCTAGATCGACTATTCCAAAAGAAAAGTGCCAGTGCTCAATCCAATGTGTATGTATATGATTTCCCTTACTTGTGTTTGTAATAGAATTATAATGATTAACACATGTAGAGATAAAAAAAATAACGCTACATCTATATATCTATCTATATATCCTAGATCGACTATTCCAAAAGAAAAGTGCCAGTGCTCAATCCAATGTGTATGTATATGATTTCCCTTACTTGTGTTTGTAATAGAATTATAATGATTAACACATGTAGAGATAAAAAAAAATAACGCTACGCTACATCTATATATCTATCTATATATCCTAGATCGACTATTCCAAAAGAAAAGTGCCAGTGCTCAATCCAATGTGTATGTATATTATATGCCTATTAAACATTCAGTAAAATAATAAGGCTTAAAATTAATCTCTTAAATTTCCTCGAAACTCTAATATATCCCCAAGGGAGAATGCTATTCACGCATGTTTGGTATGTGTACATATTTTAGCGCATTTAGCATTTTCAATTTTAATTTATTTGTTTTGCACTTACTCTTTTACTCCTGTCTTCTGAATATCAACGATGCTATCCAGTGTTAATGTGTAAACTAATTTTTCGATATACGATTCCTCGTGTGATTCGCCGGGGTGATGGGAAGCCACCTCGTACCACACACCCATGTACTGCGAAGGAAATGTGTAAATACAAACATAAATACTCTCCAGTTTTACTATGTAGACAAGGGGAACATTCGCGAGCCGATTCATTGCTTTGTTTTTCGTTGTGGTCGTCATCGTTCCACGCATGTGCCAGATATGGGTCTCATATAAACAAAGATGGCGACTTTGACAGTTGCGCAGACCAACGAGTACAAAGAGATACTTTTCTAATCTTTAACTATGTAATTGCTTTGGTGATTGGAAGGTATCGAAGGAGTCACCTGCCGTAATTAAAGGGCGGTAGTCGTCGCCCCACGCATGCGCTAGATATGGTCTCATATAAACAAAGATGGCGAGTTTGACAGACCAACGAGTAAAAATTGAGGTATTTTTTTTTGGGGTGATTGGTAGGTATCGAAATAGCGCCCGGGGCAAAACTCGTACTCGTGATTTCATTAGAAAAGCACATTGCATTGTGGGAAAATCAATGTTTATCAACACAAATGTCGAGCGACGACCACCGCCTTTTGAATAAGGCAAGGTGTGTGAACATGAATCACAGTCACTCGCCTGTGTATGTATATGTATATTAAAGGGACATGTACTGTGATATGTCAATATGATGATGGTAACAGAGCATTATGGTAATACATGTATGTCATGTTTGATGGCATGCAGACAGGCAGCTAAGAATTAGGGTGTCTTGGTGATGTTTACCCACACAGACTGAACATCTTAAAATTGTACACAGGGTACATTCCTCAAAAGTTATTTGAATTTATTATGATATGGATTAAAACAAGAATATAACTTCCAATGAAAATTCAAATTAATACGCAGTAAATGTATTTGTATTTAGCTTACAGATTCCATGTCAAACGGTTTTTGTAATCGCAAGTTTGACACTTGGCATTTCTTTACTTCGGGTGGAACTTGAGGTGGTCCACCTGGTCTTCCCCCAGGTGCCCCACTGCCAGGGGCGTCAGCTCCAGGGCTTCCTCCACCAGCGGCAGCTGCAATGAAAGTGTTTGCATTATGGTGAAAGAACTATTTCTGCCCTGGCATGGAAAATCACAATTATACTGCACAGACAGCAGTATTGGTTCGAAGTAAATAGTGTCCTGAATATCAAAGATTTAACTAACCTGCTGCTAATAGCGATATATCATCGTTACAACAGTCAACTGAAAAATGAGAAAAAGTATAGTATGAACTGTTACAATATCTCATCGTTTTATTTTGATAAATAAATATTGTAGATAGACAAAACTATGAACGAGGGTGAACAAGATGGCGGATTTGAAGACGTACACACGCACAAAAGCAAGCGACAGAGAAATTGATCATGATAAATAACAACTCTGCGACAATGTGAAAAGAAGAACGTTGGATTTTATTCCACTTACCTCGCGGTGTGTGTCTAACTCTCGATGGACTCATGCAAAGTAGTGGCAATGTATAGTGTAGTCGTCGTTTGACGTTATCAGGTAGGTGTAGAGTACGACTCATCAGCCATGCGCTGCTGTGGTTTCTGTGACAAGTGCCATCTTCCAGAACACGATTGCATCCATAAACGATAGCATATCTATCATAGTCCGTCTCTATTATCCAATATGGTCCTACAGTAGAAATACCGAGACGTTAAAGCAGGGGAGTCATCACATGCGCATGCGTCAGATGGCCATAGCGCGTAATTGTTGCCCATGGGCCTTTGCGTTTTTAGCGTGTGTTGTTATGATCGCTTGAGCTGGGCCTCAAATCCCGCGCGTGTGCAGGTGACGACCCTCCCGCTTTAAACTAACAATGTGATGACAGATAGCGCCACCTACTTCGGGATTTGCGAGTTGTTATGTGTCGGCCATCTGTAGATCTGAGATAACAGCCTGACTCAGAGAATACTACACACTTTTTGGTTAGATAATTGACGCTATATGTGGGCCCAGTCGATAGCATAATTTGTCCAAATGTAATTTCAAGGAAGTATTTCAAAAGTAATTGTCGGTGACATTTCAGAAGAAAAAGTTTCGTGGAACATAATGGAAATACATCAAAGCATAATATGTTTTGTAATTGTTCGTATCATTCGCTGTTCAATATTTACCGCTATCTCCAATGTCAAATCCACCTGGTATGTTCATTTCTACAAGCCATTTCGCCATGGAATCTTGTGGATCAACGATGTAACCCACGCCTGGTAATTCAAGGTCAAAGCAAAGTGGGCCACTGTAAAACAAACATAATGATTTTTTTAAAAATAATTTTGCAGTATGTGTAATAGGCTAGAAATTGAATATTGTCATTGAAATCATTGTCTATGCCCGAGACTAAGTTACATGGCCGTGTTTGTCGTGGGCTGCGCTATCCCGGCGACACATCGAACACCTGCGGACCGTCTTGACCACAGAGGCTTGTCAACTGGCACGAAGACTCAGCGAAATATTGTCTGAATTTTAGGCAGCGATACACAGTTTAACATTGAAAAAAAAACTCACACAAACTGAATAAATTATGTTGTCGATACATTTAGTCAAACATTTCGACTCCAAATAGGATTTTTATTCGGAACGACACGGCTCATATCAAAGCGATTTTCATTCCACCACTTTCCGGCGGTGAGCATTCTTGTCCGTTTTCAATTGCACGTCGCGCATCGTTGCCATCCGCGGCACCGCTATGCTGGGAACAGTTTTTAAGATGGTGCCGATCGCCAAATTTCTGCCGCAGTGTTACCGACTGATGCCTACAGGGTTGTTTTGGGGAGTGGTTTCACATCAGGCGAGAGGCAGTCAATACAAAAAACTATACTGTGGCATCCTTGAAAGGCGGTAGTCGTCACGTGGCGCGTGTTCGAATTTCATGTTAACAAACAATGTATTTTACACGCGTTGTATACGTCGCTATGAGTCCCATATCGAACAGGACGCGGCACGATGACTGCCGGCCTTTAATGCGAGGACCTACACAGTGAGACAAAAAATCACTGAGCATACGCACAAATTTCCGTGTTTGATCAGAACAACATCTGGTTTATATGCAGCACTGATCTTAATTTCGATGTTATTTCACGTTGCAAATCAAAAGTGTAACTTTAGGTTTACAATAGGAAAATGATAATTCGTCTGCCAATAACAAATAGTTGTTACTATATTGGCCAATGAAAACATGCACATTTCAATTAAAAAAATGAAAATATCATTAGAAAATGAACAAATCTGAGAGAGGTCTACCTGAGGCACCTATATGTATAATGTCAAAGCATTCAGACTTGCGGTTTTTAACAAGAATTCGAAAATATCACTTTTTTCCAAAAAATGTCAAAAATATTTATTAAAATTAGAGAATTAGAGATATCATCACGGAATGGACAAATCTAAGAGAGGTATGTCCAAGTATCAAAGCAATAAGAATTGTAGTTTTTAAGAAGAAGTCCAAAAACTAACAAGCAGCCTATCGGCTGAGATAGCTCCGCTGTTAGCAATGCACATTTCAATTAAAGAACTGAAGACATCTTTAGAAAATGAACAATATGAATAGTATCAAAGCAATCGGACTTACAATTTTTAACAAGAAGTCGAAAATATCACTTTTTACCAAAATATACAAAAATATTCACCAAAATAAATAGAGAATTGAAGATATCATCACAAAACAAACAAATCTGAGAGAGGTCCACATGTAGTACCTATATATGTAATATCAAAGCAATCGGACTTACAGTTTTCAACAAGAAGTCGAAAATATCACTTTTTACCAAAAATGACAAAAATATTCACCAACATTAGAGAACTGAAGATATCATCACAAAATGAACAAA